TCCCGATGGATTAATGTGCAAGGACTTTAAAGTTTGACCTCCAACTCACCGCTTTGAGAATCTACCCGTACGTAAAATTCTTGCAGTTCCTTCATCAAGTGGGAAGCCATGTTTACAAGCCTGCCACCGAAAACAAGAAAGTAAACCCCGGTTTGTGGTTAGTGGCTACCTTGCGCTAAAGACAAAACAACGGGTCGGGGTTGCGCTATCATTGACATTCCACGCATGTTGTGTGTTGTAATTTAAACTTATATCATACCTTATCACAATAAATGCGGCAAAATTGACGCTTGTAGGTGTTAGATCTTTACTGTGGGTTACTGCGTGCTTAATTTTCAGCTCTAAATTTTTGTTCCTCTCACATAATACGTTTTAGGCTGTAGTTTTGCACCCTTTTATTTATAAGCTTAAATTAAAACTAGCTCTTTCTAACTTAGGCTTACTTTAGCTACTCCTCACCTGCCATCTGTTGCCATGCTGGGAGAGCGAAAAAATATTCCTATCCAGAACAAAGTCTGAAGGCAGTACTGTACAAAAATAGGGAATATAAAAATAATTTTTGAAAATTATTTTTCCCCATACACTAAAAAAATCACTTCACAAGGTCATTTCACAATAATGGAGTGGCAAGACACGTGCCGGAGACGAAATATTAGCTCATTCCAAAGTTCATAGACAACAAAACAATAGAATCAGTCAACCTGGGCCAGGTCAAAACTTAAATAACTGCAAGAACAAACCTCGCAGCTTCAAAGTGCAAGATGTTCTAGGTCTGAGCAACAAAAATTCGAATTTCAGCTCCTGGTGGCCATGATTTACCCGCGCGCAAACACCGTGCAAAGCGTGCAAANGGCCTGTCTTTTGGAATTGAGGGGGACGGTTAGCCTCAGCCTATACAGAGGCTAGGACATTAACTTCTCTGCTAGGCTTGTCTGATTATTACTTCTTGGTTTCTGTTAACATGAAAGAGAAGCATTGAATGTGGCACTACCTCGTAATTCCACTCTTATTTTTAAAAAAACTAATCATTTGCCTTCGCTGTTTTGTTAATCATATGATTTCCAATAACCTTTACCCAGCGATTTTAGCACAGAACACTTTCAATCGTTTGCAAAGCGCTCTTTTTAGAATTAAACTTGTGTTTAATTCTGAGCAAGACACCTTTATGCGGTGTTGCGAGTTGAATTCTGTGTTGTGATGGCCATTTTTTCTCTACTTTTGTTTTCTAGACGCAATTTGCTGTGATAACTATATCTGGTATCGCTGCCATACTGAACCACGATTGCAAATATCCCTACTGGGCAAAATGGGTCATGCTTTGCTATACTCTTATTATGATGGCGCTGTTCACCAACTTTTACATTAAAACTTATCTGCAAAAGGGGAAAGGCAAAGAGCACGGCAAAAAGGAATCGTAGAGGACTGCTGAACAGGAAGCATGGAATGGACTCTAACACGACATAAATGCATTGGGAACTAAATTGGCTATCAGTGTAATATGGAGATTTATGGACTTTTCAGAATTAGCTATAAAAATTGTAAAGGACTAGCAGAGTTGAAAACTTTGCGTATTTAACAACGAAATTATACGAGAAATTGAGAAATGGACTTCATACTTTTTAACATTAATCGACTGTCGTTTTGTGAAATTGACAAAAAAAAGTGATATTTATCGGGCAAACGGATGTTTCAGAGGTCACCCTTGTCTAGGCTGTTATTTATCTGTACTAATGTAAATGGGGGAGAAGTTTTTACTACGCCTTTTGCTATATCAAAGTATATAATAATGCTATGGTGAAGAAATCTGCCTCTGTAAACTGATATTTTTCTAATCTGAATGAAAATTTTATACCCTTTCATTTATGTGTTGCGATGTACATAATTAAGGTTCTTTTACGTTAAGATGGATTGTTACAGAAAGTTTTGGGAGCCTTTTTTATGACAAGGCTTCAACTCGTACGGTTTTCATTTTTTTTTTTTTTAAATCAACGATGTTTAAGACGATTGTGTATTTAGATGTTTTTTTAACCACTTGAACTAGAAAACATGGATAGGTTTGTCAATAATATTTCGAGTTTTACCGCTGACGTTGTTTTGTGAAGTCACATGTGTCAAAAGGCGGAAATAAAGTCTTTGCGACGCCTGTCAGTTGCCATATCCTGTGCAAGTTATAAAACCTAGTGTTGACTGATGACGTATTCTCAGTTATGTTGGTGTGTTTCTCCGGGAAATTGTGGTCGACTTCCAATGAACGTGCTTCAATGTTAGATAGCGTTTCGTTGCCTTGACGTCGAAGGGTCAATTTATTTAGCTTTTTGAGAAAGGATTAAAATATCTCTCGTGTAGTTGATTTATTTTTTATCAGATAGAAGTGAAACTGGCAAAGGAGTCTTATTTTCCCCGCAATGAACGAATTGATTAAAGGAAAGAACTATACTGGCAGCTTATACTTTTGGCATTCACTTTCCTGTTTTATACTGCGGACACCAACGACGCTCAGAGGGGATTGATTTTATTACCAAATGCAGCCCTTTATGT